CGTGGACATGAAGATCCTGCACATCGACGCCAAGTAAGTCGCTCTTGATCGACAATGTCTGTAGGTAGTCCTGCTCCGAGGGACTACGTGTCATCCCTGCCGCTGTTCAGCCGCAACGAGCAGGTGTTCCTGGCCATTTAGGGTTAGAAGAACTTTTGTGTGTGCACCTACAACTTTACAACAATAAGACTGAGTTGCACCACCTAACTATAATGGTGGGTCCACACTGAGCGAACGGGCTCGCGCGGCAAACTCGACATCCTGCTCACTCAAGAGCCGGATGAGCAGGATGACCAGCCCGTTCGCCCAGTGTGGACGCACCATAACGGTAACTATAACGATTACCGGTGTTTTTTGTATGGGGTTTGATATAGACATGACATTTGACGTTTGTCAAAATTTAAGTAAGATGGTGCAACTCAGCCTAATTAAAAAATCCGTACACTTACCGATGACGCAAGATGACAAAGGCATTAATTAACGTATAATTACAGTGTACCGTTGCAAATAACTTAGATTTCCTTGACACCAGCAATGAACTGATCTTTATGCGAAACATGTATGATAGTACAGTTAGCTTTAGGTAAATGGGTAACTTGATTAACAAATAAGCATTTAAAACAGTTGTATTAAATGAATAGCAAATTGGAAGTGCGTGGATGAAATAGCAAGAGCACAATCAAGGCGAGAGTAAGTGGGCTCTCATCGTTACAATTTAACGGAAATGTCACCATGTTATGTATTTTATTTAAAAATTAAGTCGATGTTCGGTTCGGTTCAGTTTCAAATAAAATGAAACGCAAAAGTTTAAAATTGTATGTGTTTTGTAGAGTCGTCTATAAAAACTTAAAGAATTAATATTAACTTACTATGAATATTTATGTGAATCCTATTGAGAGCTTCAATTATAATACTTCTTTTCTTTATCTTGAAGTACCTATGTCTTTTAAACTTAAAGAATTAATATTAACTTACTATGAGTACTATGTGAATCCTGTTGAGAGCTTCAATTATAATACTTCTTTTCTTTGTCTTGAAGTATGTCTTTTCTTTCTAGTAAAGTTTCAATAAAAAATAATAAAGCAATCTTTGAAAATTCTACACCTAAATTGGATATGCCTTATTATTATACGATTCGCCACTCGTAATAAAATGAGTTTACTGACTAACGCTCCACTGTGGCAAAAGTGTAAGAATTAATTGACATTTTGTTGTTTGCTATCTTGTATTGTAATTAACGTCGTGAGAAAACTTGATGGATGAAGTCAGCAATTGATTGGGCTTTAATATCTTTACTTAAATATCTGATATTGATATGGTTTTAATTATGCATAAATTGTTAACTGAACGTTAATTACACGTTTAAGACTCAGTCCTGTCTTATTAGGCCTAGTATGCAATTAGCTCTCTTGCTTTGATATTAAAGCCTAATCAATCCATCTATCATTTAGTTTAAACTGCAGGAGCACGAATAATTTACCAGAGGTAAATAGAGTTGGCCACTCCTTACGCTGACCAGATAGGTTGGAGAGGCCTGTGTAACAAAATCTTCATACACTCGACAGCAAATAAATCGCACCACCCGCGACAAGCATTTTCAAACGTATGCATCCCTACTTCCCACCAATATTGGCACCATTTAAAAGCCTAGTTCTAAACTTCATTTTATTAAAGGAAAGGTTTTTACCCCAAAAATGTATCTTTACAAGGATCCAGAGTCACTTCTTCAAAAAATAGGTAGTTACGCTATAGCCATTTTTTATGACTATAAAACTGTTAAGTTGGGATTAATCACTATCCATCTGTTAAAGAGGACACGTGTGATCATTATTTGGTTTTATAACCATAAAATTTGGTCTAATTGATCCCAGAGGTGAGCCCAAAGTAAGGTCTTTTTTCAAGTCACATTTATGGTATATGTTAATCATTTATTAAGAAATTAAATGTGTTTTTCTTTAAGGATATTTATTGGGCTTTCAAATAACACCAATATTGTTGGGGCACCATTATTGTGTCAAAAGAAAATCTTTAAAGTTCGCGTCGCGGGTGGTGCGATTTATTTGCTGTCGAGTGTAGATTTTTAAGCAGTCGCTAGGTGTTTGCAAATTGGTCCTTTGGTTGCATTTTATGACATCCACGAGTAGAGTAGCAGTGATCATATTCTACTCTGCCGGAACCACAAATATATTTACCAATTACTAAAAACGGGACTATTGCCACCTCTCATTCCCACCGCTGCAACTCCTGTGTACCCAGGATCTACAGCTTGACCGCCATAAAAACTCAACCAATGAAGGCCAAGTTTGTCCCGGAGGAAAGTTAAACTGTCATTGGACCCGCAATGAAATTAATCAGAAGAACATAGGAGGAGTTCGAAATTAAGGTTCGACTTCCCTCCATTGCAAAGCGGATAACAGTGACAAACAAAGGTTTAATAACCTTTAAGAAAGGTACGGACTATAAATATCCAAATGTTAATTAAGGGGGCCTGTCGTATGAGCTATTAAGCTACCAAAGACTAAAATATAAAAACTTGTCAAACATGTACTTCCTAATACTTTCCTTCTTCATCTGCCTTAATAACGTTACGCGGGGTCGGCTTTACCAATCATGCATCTATACTTCGCTCGTTTCAGCCAAATGACGTCCACAGCTAACCAAATGATGTTGCGGGTTTACATGGGCGACGGCAATTGCTTACCATCAGGTGATCCGTCTGCTCGTTTGCCTCTTGTCACATAAAAAAAAACAGCTAGACAAAGGCCTCCCCAAGGATTTTCTTATACTTTTCAGATATTAATCATATTTTTTTGTTTCAGTGGCGAGTGGTACTTAGGCTGGAAGAAGTCAGAACTAACGGACGTGTCGTGGTACCAGCTGGTCCATTGGGACAGCCTTCGGGAGGCGCAGAGCAAACATAGACTAAGTGAGTAGCTGCCCTAATCATTATACTCTTAAAAACATATTATTTACAAACGTGATCGAGATACACCTTTACAAAATAATTAAGAATGAGAAAAATTTTATAAACTCACATGCTACTAATATTATAAATGCGAAAGTTTGTATGGATGTCTGGATGTCGGGATGTCTGGATGTTAACATGTTTGTTACTCTTTCACGTAAAAACTACTGAACGGACTTTGAAGAAGTTTTACAGTATTATTGTTTATTACCTAGAATAACATATAGGCTACAATTTATGACGATCTGTGACAAACTAAATTTCACGCGGGTGAAGCTGCGGGCAAAAGCTTAGTACACACTAAACTAATTACGTCGGGATCAATGTAATATAATAACCTCTAGGTAATTTCTTGTTTAACATTAATTCTTATACGTCGTTAAATAATTCAAATCAATTTAGCATCAATTAAATGCATATAACTATGACCCTCGTAAACAACTCGAAACAAGGATGAGCTAGGCCAACCGCGGTCACAAACTACTGAGACCGATATTGGAATGAAAATTAAGAAATAGAGGTTCGAAACAACCTACAAAATTGTATTTTCGAGGCAACTCTAAAAATAAAGTAAATTGATTATTTTAATTTCCCAGAAAATTGTCAATGAGATGTGTTAAATTGCCCAGCTGTGTTGACTTATTGTCTGAATTTCCTTATTAAAACAAAACATATATTTTTAATCATTCTGATGCGATCATTAATTAGGCATGCAACTTAAAAGTGACTAGGTATTCAAAACCTTCCATTAATTGTGTACCACTTTATTACATCACCATTTTATATGTAACCCGGAAGTGGCACAGATCACTTGATAGATACCTGTATGTATGGAAGAGACCACATATGGGTACTTCTCATTTACACTCAAATTTGATGGTCACACAATAATAGTTCATAAACGGTATAAGTTAGAACAATACCTTTGAAATCAGATGATAAAATATCTATTTAGCTACATACAAAATAAATTTTATCGTAATAGAAGCAAAAATAATACGAAAAAATCACATGAAACGATAAAAAACGGGGTCATTTTTCGCGTTCTCATCGTGTCACACCTTCGGTTGCAATGAAACATTTGGTTACTGCATTCACAATTTTCATTCAATTTGTGTGTAGCATGTACTAAAATCATCGTAATTAAATATACTTTCCACACAATAGTCAAAAAAATATCTTCTTATAATTATTTTGAATTGAGAAAGCGAAATACGTTGGTCACACGATTTTAGGTACCTAAAATTTTGAGTAATAATACAAGATTGCCGTTAAACCGAACACCAGCAACCAATCACAGCGTTCTATTCGGTTAACGTCAGTCGCGCTTCGACCATTGGGGAGGTGAGATAGGTCGATCGTCGCTCCGCGAAAAAAATACGTAACTTTTTGTGATTATCCATAGACATACCGTCGCTTGCTTGAACAATATTTTCTACCTCTAAAATTTAAACAATTTAATTGAAACTTTGCCATTGAAAACTTAACATGTTAGACTTATTTGTGTAGTATTCGACTTGAACCGTTAAATTCAAATTTAAGGATAATTCATAAAAAACTAAAATTTTCGTCACCTTCGTGGCATCACCTTCGTGGTGTTTTATACACGAAGGTGATTTTAGGCCACGAAAGTGATTTCTTGCTTTGGTTTATTTTAAAATATAGTGACTGGTGTTTATGTTTTTACAATATTTTAATAACTAATAAATTATACGTGGTAAAGTAGAGATCAGTACATCAATAAATAAATAAGGGCCTCGTATTTTTGTTGTCTGTCTGTATGACTGTATGTATGTCTGTATATGTGACTGTGTATCTGTTTGTAAGATAAATTTAATCTGAAGTTTGAGTTAAAAGTTGTACAACAAAAATACGAGGCCCTCTGGCCTAAATAAAAAATATATTTTTGTTGAGGGACTGATAATCAGTTAGTGTTCTTTTTTATTGAGGTACTGATAATCCGTTTTTTGCTTCTTTAGCATTTCAGAATGCCACCAGTGTCATCCTTAAAACCCATTGCGTAGAATCTTGTAACTTAGTAGGTGACCTAATCGGTAAAATTTTATCTTGTATTTAAGTAGGTACCTATTTATATTATGTTATTGCTATTTATCTATGAAAATAAGACAAAATATATGTTTTATAAACACTTAAGAGTCATTTACAGTAGTAAAGTTTGAAAAAATTATTGCTGTGAAGTACAGAATCACTTTCGTGGCATCAAAAAATTCAAAACGTTAAATCTTCCAAACGAGACTCACTATTTGACTGATTTACTAAGAATACAATCTTCACATCAAGCGCTACAATTTTTGTTTACAAAAAGTTGAAATAAGTTAGAAATAAAATTCGCCACGAAGGTGACGATGAGAACCGTGGCGATGAGAAATACCCATATACTTTACATATTAAAGAATTCAATCGTCGTGTATAAAAGCGAAATACCACTCACTGATTAATCACGAAATCTCAGAAACTTTAATACCTACGAGTACAAACTTGAGGGTGTAGATGTTACTGTAAAAGCTCGAACTACGGTTAATCTTAAGATTTATGTGTAAGTCTTAGGATTTACCGACATGAGTTGGTAAATGTAAGTATTTCTGAAAATACGACGACTTTTTCGAGCTTTTACCATTCGAATTCAGTATATGTTAGGTTTTACCTCTGTCAGCTGGTAGATGTTGGTTTTAGGAATAAAACAATGAGTAATTCTTAATTACTTACTTTCATCAACTATCAGACAAAACAGGTACATACGAGGGGAGGCTGAAAAGTTTTGAGCCTAGGGTATTAAAAATGCCGATAGAAAAGTGTAAAAAATATATTTTTCTATTTAATCTTCCTCTACTACAACGGACTTCTTACATTTGTGTAAAAGAGCTTTTAACCCACTGAAAAAAAATTTGCAATCTTTGCCTTCGAAATGAGCCTTTAACGCCGCCTTCCTTTCTTTGTCACTCAAAAATCTTCGTTCCTGGAGGTCTTTTTTCCAATTTGAGAATTAGACAAAATAGCTAGGGAATCGGACTAAACTGTGTGGTGGGTGATTAATTTCTTAAAATCCAGTTTTACCCGGGGTAAGCCATGCAACATGCGCGGTGTGCGCGGTTGAATTGTCTTGCAGTAACAGATTTCCTTTCGCCATTTTGCCTCTTAATATTTCAACAACCACTTGACGCACTCCTATCAACAGTACAGCATAATAATCCCCGTTTATTTTAATTTTTTTTAAGTAGGTAGTCAATGAATAAAATTCCTCCACAATCCCAAAAATAGTGGCTATGAGCTTGGGTGTCGATCGCTCCACTTTGAATTTCCGCGGCGGCGTTTTCCCTTTTGAATCCATTGCAGTGACTCTTATTTTGACTCTAGATCGTACTGCCGGATCTATTATTTATCAATAGTGATAATGTGAGAAAAAAAATTGTTAGGATTATGGTCAAAGATTTCCTAAAACTCCTGCGAAGTTGTGACTCGACGCTGGTTATCGAGCGGCGAGAGCATTTTTGGCACCCATCGCGCGCACCCCTATTTCATGTGCAAATGAGTATGAAAAATATCGTCGTTACGTTTTTTGTTAATGCCTATGGTTTCAGCTATCTGTCACAACTTAATTCGCTGATCTCTAAAGCAAGATTTTTTAAGTTTTCATTATTTTATTCGTTAATGGCGAAATCTGGCCGCCCTGATTTGCGGTCATCTTTTAGAGACTCCCTGCCATGCTTGAACTATCGGATCCATTATATTATGATGGCAAATGAAGGCCCAGACTCCCCATAACCTGTAGACATCTCTTCAAATGTTACCGTCAGCGTTTTGTTCCTCTTTTTGAGGAGTGTTATGACAACTGTGTACTTCAATTTCGTACATTGCGCGGATGACTGAGACATGATGATGTTTACTGATTAATTACTAAAAGCGTGATGACGCTAATGTAATGAAACTTTGTACATATACTATCCTTAGTATATGGCAAATTAAATAAATTTAACGCGAGTCAATAATAGCACTTGAAGATACTTAGGCTCAAAACTTTTCAGCCGCCCCTCGTAGTTAAAAAGGTATCATATGATAGTAATAAGTACAAACTAATACCATACCAACTTATTTAAATTATTTGCAATCATTTCTTTTTCTTGTGTTTTGGTGTTCTCATTTTTACTGTTTCCTTTTTTTATTCCTTCTGACTCATTACCAACGATATTGTTTTCGTAAAAGTTTACAGAAGTGGAAAAAATCTGAATTATAATAACCCAGCATTGATAGTAGCGCATACTTACCTGTAAATATAATATCTAGCCTATGTAGGAGACTGAAATTTTGTACTGCATGCATCCTACTAATATTATTTTAAACGTGAAAGGCTGCGCTCGTGTAATGCGTAGATAAGACCGATTGTTACCTGTCAAAAATTCTTCTTTTGTTTTTCAACATTTACCGTGCCATTAATGTAAATCCTAAAATTTACCAACGAAATGGTGGTAAGAGTTCGAATCGCAAACCTTTTGGGACATTTACCATTAGGAATTGGTAGATCTTAGATTTTACTGGAATATCTTAGGATTTACTGCAATTCGAGCTTTTACAGTAACATAGACATCCGCTAAGAACCATAGAGATCTAGAGAGATGCCATTTTAGTGTCGATGCTGTCATCATTGTTGTCGCGAGCAATGTGTTCTGTTTTTGGGCATATTGCTGCGACACTGGCCCCGCCCCCTTTTCACATCTCCCTTTAGTTTCTGTGATCTGTAGCTAAGAACGGATTTTACGAAACTTCAACCCTAAGGGGGTAAAACGGGGATTATCTCCACTCATACGAAGTCGCGGGCGGCCGCTAGTATCACTATTAGCCTAAGTCTTTACAATAAAATGCAATTAGCTCCTAGCACCGACCGCCCTGATTACCAACTTTATGGCGCGCAATAAATGCTTGTCCTATACATCCTTGTACCCCACACGTCCTCTACTCGTTTTTCTCCAATATCTAACCGTTTTACGACTTCTAAAAGACATTTAAACGTTTAGTAGCAATTAACAGTTATTTAAAATCGTGTTGCGTATATAATAGTCTGTACTATACGGCTGTTTATTTAGTTGGTGCTCTTTTATATTAATTAATTGAAATAATGCTAATTTTAGACTATTTGTTATGAAAGTTTAAAAATAAAGTAAAATACATAGTTACTTTACCAACTGCTTTCATCCATAAGTTTTTTGTTACCGGATTGATAGGCTGGGTTGCACCATTTTACTTTAACTTTAACAAACGTCAAAAATACAGATTTTTAGACTATCGGTTCTCCTCACAGTTACTGTTAAAGATGGGTGGTGCAACTCAGCCTAAATGTTATAGACTAAAACATTGACAATTAGGTAAATCTACCAAAAATTAATAAATAAATAAAAATAAAAAATCGTTTTTATTGCTATCATTAATGTCTAAACCTAAAACAAAATGACATTCTATTCCACCTAGGAATAGAACCTTAACCTAAGTTTGGAAAGTTTGACTCTCTACCCAACCACTGTACTACTGGAACTAATAATCTAGATCTTATTTACATGGTTTGATTAATACATAGTTTAGCGAAACAAAAAATATTTATCATGCCATCCTTGTTACAGTAACCCAATCCGAGCAGGACAAATGCTGCATACTGCTGATCAAGCTACAACAGCGGTCGGGACAGTTCCTGTGGGTCCACGTGGTACTCCAAGTCAAGGACGCTGCGGATTCTCCTAGGCAGTTCATCATAGCTACTAATCAGATATTAAGGTACTACAGATAGTACTAATGTACTCTTAATAGATATACTCGTACAATTCAGTTGCTAAACGTGTAAAATGCCACAGTACGATGTTAAGTTTGACATACCTTAACCTAAATGTACTTAGATTGTCGATGGTTTACTAAATTACCTTTATTATGGGTTATGGGTTTAAATTCTACGAGAGACAAATGCTAGCGAGAAGAGTATTTACGCCAGAAGTAATTTATGTTTGTAACTTATTCACCAGGCATGATGTCAGAAACCTATGTAGGACTGCCTATGGCGATTCATTATGTCTGACAGGCGACACGATAGAAGAAGAATATTCATGAGTCTCTATTGAAAAAAAAATGTGCTCGTAATCTAGTTACTTTAGGGGTTACTAATTTGAAAGCTAGCGAGAAAATATATTGTGTTATATTATATTTCTAAACTTTTAATATGACTACGAAGTTTAATTCCATATCTCCCTCACAGTGAAGAAGAAGCGTCAATAATGATGGCAAACTCCTGGCTGTACCAGTACTACGGCTACCAGAACCAGCCCTGCAGCATGCTGGACCCCCGCTGCCAGAAGTTCTTCAGGAGGGACCAATGCTACCAGGAACAGTATCCGGAGACCTACCAGTATACGGAGAATCAGGAGATGGAATATCCAGGTATTTGAATTGAATATTATCATTATGAAATTTTACCAAAGCCTCTGAGGGCAAAATAAATCGACGTTAAATGACAGTTATATTTAGGAAAAAATAATACAACAAGGTAGACATAGTACATAAAACTTCCTACATCAAATAAGAGCCAACTAAATGGACTAAGCATCCTTGTCATTAATTTACTCGTAGTCTTTTAGATAATAGGGTATTTTAATAATTTGTACTTTATAAAGGACTATTATACCTTTATTCCAATTGAACTTTGTGTGCTGGATAATATATCCTCTACACGCTGGGCATAACGTGTCGGACGACGCTGCGTTATAAGGAATTTATTTATTCAGAAAATATGTACCTATGTAACTAGTAAAAATGTGTTGTCCGTCCTACAGGTTACCACGTTTCTTCATATGTACAACAGAAGCCAGTAGAAGACTACAACGGCTGTGAAAGGGTGTACTCCGATAGAGGGCCAGTGGACTACTCCACGCACTCCCCGCAGTCCACCATTAGTGAAGAGAGGTGAGTAGGTACTTTATAAAGTACAAAATTAAAAGTGACTTAAAATAAGTACGTAGAGTGCGTGGATAGAACTTGAGGCCACTCGACTCATCGTCAAAACTAAAAACGTCTAACAAAAATGTCTAATAACTACTTTTCCACGAAAATACAAACAAGTAAAAATAAACCTCTGTGATTGGTACTTTTTAACCGGCATTGTCTTATTTTAACCAATAGGTAACTTCAAATGCTCATGTCGTGAGAAAACGCTAATACGCTAATACAATGCGCCATTGTTTGTGTGACTTTGACCAATCACAAGCGTTGTTTTTCCTTGCCTTTTTCGGATTCTTGGTGAAAAACTAAGTAGTGAGAACATAATTTAATAAGGAATAGTTAATGCTATTGGAAGTTACGACTAAGTACACAGACACTGCCTAGACAAGTTTGAACCACAAGGGGTTCGAACCAGTGTTCCTCGGATCTCGATTCTGCCAATTCGACACCAACAGCATTGGGCTATCAACGCATTTTTTTTTCTTTTTTCTTAGAATGATTTTAGAGTTGTTTAAAAACATAGGTAAAATAAACAAACATGAAAGATAACACACTTGTAAAATTGGTCAGTCATCATTGCCCAGGCGGCCAATTATTTTAAATTGTACTCTTAACTTCACTTTCTATCGCTTAATATTCATGAGTTCATAAAAATCACCTGACGAACGTTTAAAACAAACAAGACTTATAACAAGGTCACAAGCACAATTTGTACACGTCACACGGTCAATCCACAGAATATAAATAAGAAAATCATCACCCCGTCCCGTCTGTCTGTCCGCACACGTAATTTGACACCTTTCATTACCATATTTATTGTTACCACATCACTAGTAACGTCAAAATGTTATAACTATGCCTTATTATAAAGCAGTATGGTTTACATTTCCGTAGCGTTTGCTTTTTAGTAGGATGCAATGTTTTGTTCATAAACCAAACATGAAAAAGGTTCTAAAATAGGCATTAGGATTGTGATTTTTATGACAGCTTTGATTTTAAATGTAAATGGTTTTAGATTTGCGCAATTTGAATATGAATGATGGAAAAAAACTTTGTTATCTGAAAAAAGTTGGAATTAGACAGCAAGTTACTGAATACGAGAGCTGTTGTTGAACAGCGTCTATGGAGTTCACTTGTTATTATTTTAGCCTAAAACTTTTAGGAATAAACACCATATTTGTAAAGCTCTATATTGTATTATTACTGATAATTTAAAATGTTCTTCAACAGATCACCCCACCACTACGACCCGCCACCAGAGATCATAGTGAACAGTAGCATGTACATGTACCCACACCACGGCAAAAGGGAGTACTACGAGCAGTACCCGCGAGTGCCGTACATGACTGAACCCTGCTCCACAGCTGTTTCTGATGGTATGTGCTTTATGAAGAACTTAGGCCTAAAATAAAGCGTTTGTAGCGTGTCGAATGCGTGTCGTATCGTGCTGCAATATCACCATTACCGTACCTACAATACAACTCTTCACTGTACCGTGACGTTAAGACGCAGAGAAATAGCTCTCTGGCGCATTATACGAACAGATGCTATCTGTCAGATGCTAAATATTTTTTTGAAGTAAAGCCATTCATTTAAATTATAAAAAAATCTAATTATATCTTTTGGTAACCTTCCTAAATTGTAATGGATCGAATTTAATTCTAAACACTTAATATGGTTACAGGTATGGACTACCCTAGCGCGAAACGCATGCGATTAGCTCCCACAACTTTGGAGGAGACCGATGGCATGGACCGGTGGAACCCCAGCCCACCCTGGTCGGACACCACCCTGAAGGTTCCCGACTACAACCAACGATTCACCTACATGATGCCCATGCCGCCTGCTGAGAGAGCAATGGTCACCTAACGTCACTTAAAATGTGTTATTTTAACACATTGACAGCCCATGTGCTACATATAGTACATGCCCTATTGTTATGCTATTGAGTCTCGTCTAGACAGCAAATGTGTTAAAAATACTTGTGTGTTCTTGAAGTGAGATCAGGGTAAAGTTCATTGTGGAAATTCCATGATGAATACTTTTAGAAACATTGTTCTTTTACAATTACTGAGGTACTTTGCCGTTTTCATGGGTATTACCTATTTGATTCCATGAAAATAATATCACATTATCTTAGTATAAGAAGGGATATTTCTCATCATCCAAGTCAGGGTAGCTGTTCAATTATTCTATTATAATAAATTATTTTGATATGCAACAGAATGAAGGTTTTCATTCATGATCATGTTAACGCATGATTATCGTATGAAGGTATTTAATTGTATGTTTAATAGTTACCTCTTTTTCATATTGTTTTCGTTTTTTATCTCAATTTGTGCAATACAAACTATACTAAGGTATCTTCGATTTTAATCTTTATTTGTTTCATATTACTTACTTATCTTTAATAAAAATATTGCATTTAATTTCAGTATACTATTTTGATGTTTCCTATTTTAAAATTAAAGCTCAATATGAAAAATGCATAAATTAATTTGACAGTATTTTTAAAAGTAAGTACGAAATAGGATTTAAGATTTAGTTAAGATAAAATTAGAAATGGTCCCGTCCAAATATTTTTATATTGCATTCCAAAGGAATTAGGTAATTTATGTTTGATCATTTTGTAAATATTTTACAATTTCAGTTTGACATTAAGCGTGTTTTTGTAAATAATGTAATTGTATTTAATATTATTGCTCGTGAAAATAAATTAAAATGAAATAAATGATTTCATTACACAAAATTATCTTTATTTGCATCCCTTTATTTATTTTTGCCTCCATAACCCACCTGGCCAGCGCCAGGATGTCTCCCCGCCCGTTTTTACAAACATTACTATGAGATCTCACAGTGCGTGTTGACGCACAGGGTCACACACGAACCAATTACAGAGCTCTATTTAACGCTGTGCTTTCGATTTCCTGCTTCACTTAAGCAAGTTTGTGAATACGGGTGTAAATCGTCCATTTGCCTTTAACAAAAGGTCGTCCTCCTGCAGTCAAAACTAAATTACCCGTTGAGGTTAATGATGATGATGAAAAGAAGAAAAATCCTATACATTTTACACGTGATAACACAAGTAGGCGAGCGAGAAAAGGTGGCGCTATACCTATCAATCAGGCAAGGATATGAAGTGGTTTAAGTTATGAATGAAAAGATATTAAGACGGGTTTTGATAGACATACTAAGGCTGAAACTCACAACTCAGCTCATTTTTTTAAAGGAACGGAGTGTCGTCGGACTACCATAGCCGATATTAGCCGGAACACGGGTTCGAACCCTTCATCCATTGGACTATTGTGAATCTACTCATAACACAAGCATTATCATCTTACCACGTGGGGTTAGCGGGACTATTAGTAATTTGTAGATTATTAGTAATTTGTGAATAGTCTTTAAAAAAAATCATGGCTTCATTAACACTCCAAATTCCACCTTTTCAGGCTTACTCATTACAAACAGTTCTATATTCAGTTACAAGTGTCATATATCAAAAGCGTACGTTCTACGCTGGCCTCTCGTTGCGCGAGCTTAAAGCTCAAAGCTTTGATCCATTGTTATTGCGAGCTTGTCTGACGCCCGCAACTACGATGAATTATTGATGCTACCACACATACGTGACTGCGGAACCCTACCTGGATTGCTAATAGGCACATAAGTTGAAGAACCATAAATTTTGTCCAAACAAATACCTTCCCAAAACAACATTCCATTTCCTACTGAAAAATTTTTGACGCGCTGTCAATTATGTTTCTTGATGAAGTAATATTTTTTTTTAAATGTTCCTCATTTCCGGTTCCGAGTTACAATATCGAATGTATGTCGAGATCTCAGTAACATGTTCATTTATAGAATCTATAATGGTTTGTGCACCTAAATATGGATGCGTTTATGCAATTGGTGATAGAATGAAAGTGCAACTTTCTGGTAATTTGGGAAAGGGAAACAGAAAATGATGTGAATGAGGTGAAAGATGAAGGACTAAAGCTAGTTTAAGTTTAATTAAATTAAATATTTAAATAACTTAATTTCATCATCGGACGCAGGCCGCTACCAATCGATCAACATGGAAAGCATTGGGGGAGGCCTATGTTCAGCAGTGGACGTCCTATGGCTGAAATGATGATGATGATGATGATTATGATGATGAATCATCGGTAACTGTTGATAGCAGACAATAGCAGTAAGAGTCGGGCTCAGGCATGTCCACTTGAGCGGCTCACACAAATGAGCCGTTTATTCTCCCGAGCATGCTCAATTTAACAGGAGGCTTCAGAGGCATCAATAAGGAGAAATGTGCTCATTTGCTTTGTTGAATGTGTCATGATACTTTGCTTATCCAGTGCTTCTAGCAGGAGAAGAAGCACGTGTCGCAGGATGTTCAGTCAACACTGTCTACCAATTTAAAAACTACAAGTATTTTATTATTGCCCGCGGCTTCACCCGCGTGAAATTCAGTGTCACAGATCGGCATAAATTATAGCCTATATGTTAATCTGGGCTACAAACAATAATACTGTAAAGTTTCAACAAAATCCGTTAAGTAGTTTTTGCGTGAAAGAGTAACAAACATCCAGACATCCAAACTTTCTCATTTAAAATATTATAGTAGGATAGTAGGATTATTTTCTCCTAAACCATTAAAGACGACCAAAACAATCCAGGCTCTCTCCCGCTCACACCCATCCCGCTTTGGAGGCATCGCAGCAGCTACATTAGTGGCGCTCGTTAGCAGAAAACTAATTGCTAAATTATGCCGCGTCGCACTCGATGCGTGGGAACCGATGCCTCTGCGATTGACATCTTCCTCTTATCAATCGACGCTGATAAGTCTTGTATCCACTTAAGCATGCTCAGGCAAATGAGTGGCTCATTTGGGCGAGCCGCTCAAGTGGAGACGCCTGAGCACTCAGACTCAGGCTTGGCTCAGGCGTTTCCACTTGAGCGATTCGCCCAAATGAGCCGTACATTCGCCTGATCATGCTCAAGCAAATGAGCGGGTCATTTGCGCGAGCCGCTCAACTGAAGACGCCTGAACACTCAGACTCAAGCTCGGCTCAGGCGTTTCCACTTGAGCGATTCGCCCAAATGAGCCGTACATTCGCCTGAGCATGCTCAAGTGAAGGCAGGAAAAATGTGCTCATTTGCTTTGCTTAAGTGTTTCAAGCAAGAGAAGAAGCACGTGCCGCAGTAAACTCAATCAACACTGTCTACCTAATAAAAAAAAAACTAATTATTATCTCCTAAACCATTAAAGACGACCAAAACAATCCAGGCTCTCTTCTGCTCATTCCCATCCCGCTTTGGAGGCATCGCAGCAGCTACATTAGTGGCGCTCGTTAGCAGAAAACTAATTGCTAAATTATGCCGCGTCGCACCCGATGCGTGGGAACCGATGCCTCTGCGATTGACAGTAATCGCGCATCTGCCACTTATCAATCGACGCTGATTTGTGGCGTCAATAAGGAGAAGTGCTCATTTGCTTATGGGCATTGTATAGAATTCAAATTAAAGCTCTTTATTAGTGTATAGGCCCTTTTCTGAGCACTTTTGCGTCCCTAATATAACTAACTCTATCACTAGATTCTAGATCACTATGTGTGAACAACAGTGAGTAGGAAATTTTAGCTTTTACCTGTGTAACTCGGCAGTTCACGTGGTTTTCGATAAAATAGAGCACGGATGAGTGACGGATAGTGAAGTCCACCCACAAGGTGGACCGACGACCTGATAAAAGGTAGCAGGAAGGCGCTGGATGCAGGCCGCTACCAACCGTGCGATGTGGAAGTCATTGGGGGAGGCCTATGTTCAGCAGTGGACGTCCTGTGGCTGAAATGATGATGATGAGTGACAAACCAATCCACCCAAAACTATTCAATCTCGTCAGTGATATTAGACCAATAAATATCGATATCAAATATCACCAATATGTTAGGTCCCTTGAGAAGTAACTTAAGTTTGCACTGAAAACTTTAAGCTTTAACTTAGTTATCCACTTTACCGATGGGACCCACTAAACTGTGTATCAATCTAGTTGGAGCTTAGTTTGCAATTTCAGTTTCATTTAAATATAGGTAGGTAGAGTTTGAAATTTTAGTAATATTAAATGACTAATTTTACATTTCTGTTGTAAAATAGCAGTGTCTGATAGAACACTTAATTATGTAGCACATAAAATGTAAAATCCCTTCAATTTATGAATGCATATATTTCTAATCTCCTTCTTATAACAAAGCTGTAAACCAACAAAGTTAAAGTTATTATGAAGCTAATGGAGTAACACATAACTAATTGCACCTTTGAACATAATGTATCATGGCAAAACGATAAGGCGAAAATGAAACATCTCGTAAAAATGTCTTCGTCATACTTAGGCGAGCTGCATACTGAAAGTGAAAATCATTTTTGCATCTTTCAAAAGTATCTTATGTACTTAGTTTTGATTTATTTTAATTTGCAACCAAAATCTAGTCGTTTGTCGACTACCCATTACCTAGATTTGAAAAAGTGAAAGACTTTTTACTGTAGTATCAGAGATTTTAAATGTGCGTTTGTGTAGTAATATTTAGAATAACACACCAATTAACTATTAAGCCAAAACCGAGTTAATCTTGTAGATAACGATAACGGCTAGATAATACAATATGTACCTACAAACATCATAGTTAATACACATCACACACAAGGTACTTGAAAAGATATAAAGCTTCGATCGATACATAATGCCCATAATAGAGGTTATCTGTAGCTTCCTCTAAACTAATTATTTCAATAATCGAATTCCAAGTCTGAAATATCCGAAATTATAGGTACATATTTTAACTGCAAAATCATCTGTAAGTATTTTTTGGTAACAAATGTATATTACTCATAGCTAACTCACTCGCATTAAAGAAAGAATGGCGTAGTACGAGTAAGCACACACCTACTTCTGTTTGTTCTGCAAACATTAAAACTTAAGTCGCAACTAATTTTAACAATTCCTAAACTTCAAAACAAATTGCTCGCTTGAATAAACCCTTAAAAGTGTCACAGAATAGGCGATAAAACAATAATGTGAAATCTCGTAAAAATGCCACACTTAAAGGCCGGCTGTAAGTCAAATGCGCTTCCAAGTGCAGAAAAATGCATTAAAATGCAGTTTACGGGCGCACCGACAGCGTGTACCATTAATATTCATGTTATCCACACATCCTGGATTCTATTTAAAAAGGGAAATATTAATAACAATGGACAATGAGAGATATATTTCAATGAGCATTTCACACAGGTGTTGGTGATTTATTA